ACAGGGACAGGGTAAATATGACATTTCGCAAACAAAAGATTGTACCGTCGCGCATTATGAACCACTGGCGCCGTTATAGCCGGACTTGACTACACTCTGCTAAATTATCGCTCTTAAATCTATCGATAACAACAATGCCAGTAATCTCCACTTTTTAACGAGAACTCCAGAAGGGACTCAGTCGTACCGAGAATTTCGTAAGATTGCAATCAGGCAATATGGTTCTATTGACAATTATGTACGAGAAGTTATTTTACGAAGGCCAGCAACGAAAAACACTATAGCAGCTTCAGTCTCGTCTTCGTCTGCATCACAGCACCTGCCGTTGTCATCCGAGTACATTATACGGAAGAATGATTTTCCATACGCATTAGAACAGGGAATAGAACATTGGGTAATATGGTCACTGAAGGAGATGACGCATGATGAGGTAGAAGAAGCACTGAGAAAAACCTTCAGTGGAAAGGAATGGGTGTTCGTTATTAATCCCGCGCACCTACAAAGCGTTGGGAGTGTATGGCATGGGCATATTTTTACCAGAGATGATGATAGCGCAACAAGTTAGATCGCGTGTGAAATACGTAAATAGATAACGCCCTGATAGTTGGATACGTCATCGAATGAAAGATGTAAACCTTTAAAACAACTCAAATAATTGCATATACTTGTATATTGAATGCGTAAATGTTCGATCTTTATAAGACTTCTGAAAAGGCATTACTGTAACAGAGAAATGATGAACTCCTATACATAATAGTATCGTTCATCCGCATCCAGATCCTATCAGATAATGAGTTGTCTCGTAAGCCTCACAGTTCTCTATACTTACCTTTCACTTCATTTCAATATAGAATCGTTGGCTTCTTGTTCTAACGAATATTGTAGTATAAGGAGATGTCTATCAGATTATTTTGCATGATGTGATGAAGTTATTGAAACACTCATACTAAGACAGAGCTTCTCTTTATTGAAAGTTCTAACGTGTGTGTAGACGATCCGATTAGAGCGTTGTGCTGATATGTTTAATCATTGCATTTTGCTATGGTGCTTCTTTTCGAACATCCCCAAATTGCTCAAAAATACCATATTAATGAGGTTATATTTATCGCTCAAATTTCCCCCACCGTTGCTTTTTCTCATTGTTTTTCCCCCATTCTTTAATTTCTAACTCTAATCTTTATCGTAACCAGTATACGTTGATTTTCCGAGACTTGGTAATAAACGCGGAGATATCGATATCATAGCGTAACTACATCTCTTTAGCAGTTACAATTGCATCAGTCGTATCGACAATCTCTTTTCCAAGCGCATAATATCATTCCTAAGCCATGCTTCGGTTTCCCTTGCGAGCAGCCCGAGTATAACGTTCTTGACACAACTAGCGCTTGTCCGTTTTAAGCACGTTGAGTATGGTCTTGAGCGCGAATCTTTCTCGGAAAAGTTTGATCGAAACGTACAAGCTATTATCGTTCTCCTCATGTTCTTGTGGGAAAAGGTCTATTGATGCAATCTATCATTAGCACGATTCGTTGATCACGCGCTAAATAAAAATGATGGGGTGGCTTGGAAATTTTTGTCGCATTTCCATTAACATCAATTCTTATAAAATAGAATGAGCTTCTTACAATTAGTTTCATATGGTGGTGCAGCTCTCGCTATTATATTTCTAACTTTAAGTCTAGGCAGGTATTGGGTAGCATCAAGCAGAGTTTGTCAAGTTTGGGAGGTCGGTTTACCTTGCTCACATTCTCGAATTATGTGCTTACTGACAAATGTTAATTTCAGCTTGTGGGCTATATTACCTAGGTGGGTCACCCATACTGTAAATGAACTTGATTCAACGGATAAATGTACATTATTATGTGTGACATGTAGCGATTACGCTTATTCAACTTTCGAGCAATAACCCAGTTCGTCTTCTTTTAGCCGAGTTTGTTGAAGAATATACAGTCTTGACACGTAAAATCATTAAGTACTTGACATGGGTAGAAGTTTCCCCGTATTTCGCTCTTTGCCTTCGTGTTTATACCTTGACTTACTAGGGGTTTCGCATTTTCTCTATATTAACTTACTAGACTGTTGTCATAGTTCATATACTACTTTTTCTATTTGATGGTTTTCCCTTCTGGCGCATTTTATTCTCGTTAATATGTCATGCAGTGTATACACTGAACCTTCGGACCTTTCCGTTTATAAATTTAACAAACTATCCGTTTATCGCAAGTTGTGGTGAGTATAAATGTTGTCATGATTGACCAACTTTCCCGATACCATCAGCAACCCGAATATGGACTAATCCATTCATTTAATCGATAGTGTTGGTTCTTATTGATCACTTTCTGTGGTTCGAATTCTTCGCCTCTCGATACTACACGTTCATGGAAGTTGCTTCGTTTTTTGGAATTTGCGTATGGTTGGTACCTTTTGCATATTTCATTTCTTTAAGTGCTAACGATAATGCGTTGCCCTCGTTCGGTAGGTCAGATTGTTGGCTTAGACTTGCGTTTCTCAGTCAATGACAACAACGCACAGAATTAATTGTGTCTTCGTCATATATTAGATCCCAACATTCATAATATCGATGCGATTCCGGCACGGAACAAAGCGGGTTTGCTGAAAAAAGCGATTAATTTCGTTCTTCAAAAGAAAGACGAATTGATTCCAACAGCCACACCTTCATCAAGTAACTTTGATGCGCGAAAATCACTTTGATGCATGGCGTACTATCGTTATTATTATCAGGACGAGAAATAATAATTCTGCTAATTCAGTATTGTAAGTATTATGTCCGTCTCTATTTAAGTAAATAGGGAATATTCCCGCACAGTATACGCGGCAGATGCAACGTTCTTTCGTCCAAGGCAGGCTTTATTTGTAAAAGTTCCGATTGCATATTAGTATTCAATGCACTTCCGCGAATTTTAATTGAGAGAATGAACAGTCGGCAATGTCTGAAATAAATATTAATGCATCAAATAACAGTTGACCGTTTATGCTTGAATATCTGATACGTATTAATGACATACCCCGAGTAAGGATTCCTCCTGAAATTGAGTCGTTCATATCATCACTTTGCGTTTGTCACATCGTGGGTTTGTGTGATTGACGTATTTTGTAATTTCGATGGCGCCGGAAACCGTTCTTCAAGACGTTCACTTATGTATATGCCCATTAGAGCGATTGCAATGCCAGCTATTTCATAGTAATTTATGACTGTATTAATTTAATTGTAGAAAGCGACAATTGTTAGAGCGCGAGAAGTTACCGACTCAACCCTATATATTTTCGCGTTCTTGGAGGAATCGCTTTGTATGACTGCCAAAATGACTTCTCGTTTTGATTTCCAACTTGAACCATTTTCGAATAGATAACAGCTGGTTGATCGCATGTTAGATCCACCAATAAATCAACGTGACACCACGATTTCCTGCTCCAGAACACAATTCGCCAGAACAAGATCAAGTAAAATATGATGCTCCAAGATGCTCGAACCATGTGTGCATGGCATTTGATCTATGTCGAGTAATAATTTGTACAGAATATATATATGTAAGAAGAGTGCATGAGTAAAATTTGTGCGGATCCTGAGAGTTATATTCATAAACGCCAGA